CTCCCCCAGACTGTGCCCTTGACTTCCCCTTCAGTGAGTCTTGACTCAGTCTCTCCCAAGAGCCTATAAATCTGAATTAATGTTAACTCTTCAATCCATTTTTAGGTCTACTAGATAGAATCCAACAGAACACAGGCCATCTTCAAGGCTACTAGAGACCACTAGTTTATAGTAGTATCTCTAGCAGTCAGCCGGCTCCCTCCATTATTCACCTTCTTCACCACAGAATCTTCTCTAATCTTGACACGTCCTCCTAGAAGTTCTAAGACTTTCCCCTTGATGCCAGCTTTGTTTCTGATCCTCCTTCTCATAATAACATTATAAATCATTCTTTATTTCCATCTTCTTTTTAGCTTGACAAAACACCAAGCTGAAAAAAGAGAGTTTGTTTGAATTACTCTCCCATCTCTCAACACCCTCTCCAGAGTGCTCACAGCTGCAGGAACAGCTTACTCTAGATTGTACAATGGCAATATATTTTGGTATCTTTTTTCCATTTTTGATTCTGTTCTTTTAATGTTGCATATTAAAGCAATAAAAAATTGTGAAAACAAAAGTGGAAAAAACATTCTTCAGCAAGGAAAAAATCTAAGTGGCTCTCAGAACAAGTTACTGTGATCTCCTGACATATACCACACCTTAGTAAATATATAAATCTACCTTCCTATCTAGGGAAAGATAGACAAAAACATTGGGCAACAATGAAGACTTCTAATATCAAACATAAAAATAAGGAAGAGTATCTCAACCGAGAATGTCAACAAATGGAAGAATATTACAAAAAAAGGAAAAAACTTGTTAAGAAGTTCAGAGATATAATAGGAACATTTCTAGCTAAGGCAGGAAAATCCAAGAGTAATCACAGAAGATATGATGAGATATAAATGAGTTTATGGGATGATGGAAGGACAATAGTAAAACCCTTTACAAATGGGACTATAGAATGATAGAGAAAAGTATTTATAGAGAACATACTCAGGAATGATTCCATTAGTGATTGAGTGTGACAGGCAATAGACTAGTTATCAAATAGGAAAACACTAGGCACAGAAGAAATATCCACCAAAGTGTTAAAAGCAGCACAAAAAGAGACAATTAAAGTGCTAACAGCCCTGTATCAACAAATATGGAACAAATATGTATGGCCTAAAAATTGGGGGGAGGGAATTACCTGTACTAGAGAAGGGAAGATGCAAGAGAATATATAAATTATTGCAGTATTGCATTAATTCCTTGCTCAAGCTAAATTTTGCTTATAATTTTATAAGGAATAATAGAACTATGAAAAGAGAAATGCCAAGCGAACATGAAGATTTCAGAAAAGGCAGAGGGACATGAGATCAGACAGCTAACATAGGATACAGTAGATAAATAAAAATATAATTAGGTTTACCTCTCCTTTGTTAACTTCATCAAGATTTTCGTGTAGATCATGTGGGACATACCAAAGTTAATGTGCACCAGAATATCTGATTTTTCTTCTGAAGAATTTTCACAATTAACAAGAAACTACTTTTAGAACTGAATTTGGAAAAAACAGAGAGATTCAGTAGAGGGAAAGAAGTGACAAAAGAATGCTTACTGTCTCCATACCTATTTTAACATAAAAAGTGAATATATTATAAAGGTGACAAAATCAGAAGACAGTATTATTGGAATTAAAATTTGAGGATTTCTTTCTTTATTAAATATGTATGCCACTTGACTCCCAATGATTCTGGGTGGCCCACGAGTATATGTGTGTGTGTGTGTGTATGTGTGTAAATAAAAATAAGGAATAAAAGATAGCAAGATGATAGAAACTGGACTGGAATGGAAAAAAAGAAACCCACACAGTCCAAGGAGGCTTCACTCATGCTCACTAAAGGCCTGGGAGAAGAGCCAGGTCTTCAAGCCCCTTCAAAACACTAGTAGGGTGGGGGTTGTCAGGATCTCATCCCCTACTTCTGGGGATTAAGCAACATGGCACTGTTTAATCAAAGGACTAGGAACACACTAACCCTGCCAGATTGAATTGGCCAGGCAGATACAATGGGAAAAGGAGATTTAAAGGAGCTCATTATGAAACTAATAATGATTGATGAAAAATCTGGTTAATGTTAAGTATTAAGAAGACAGAACTACTATATTGTCAACTTACAGGTACATGCCTAGTGAACTTATAGTTGACAATGAAGAAGTAAAGTTTTTGTTTTTGTTTTACTGGACTCAAGAATTGATAAAGCTGGCTAAAGTGCTTGCGATTTAAAGTGGGATTAGCCCTAGGAAGGAAGGGAATGCCAAATTTTGACAAGATAGTGAAAGTTAAGAGTATTTCAGTGGCAACAAATCTCACAACAGTCTTTCCAATGGTAACATTCACTGTGAAAGTTGGGCATTGAGAAACAAGGAAAGGAAGATGTGCTATTTGAGTTATGGATTGGGAGACAGTTACTAAGAGTCCTGTGGACTACAAGAAGAACCCACTCATTAAAAATATATAGTGTATAGCATCAAGAAAAATCCTAATTAACAAGTATCGAAAGGCATATATGAGTAGCAGTGTTTCAACAGCTGGTTACTGACAAAGTAACAGTGGCACTGATTGTACCACAGCAAAAAAGCAAGCAGAATTTCATAGAAGCTATCAGAAAATGACTTCCCTGCTAAGGGAGACAGTAAACTTTCTCTTGTTCTTTTGTAAAAAACATACGTACATATGTGAATCAATTTCACTTTTATTGCAAGGATGAGGCTTTGCATGGAATGTTTGGAAAACAGTATTTTTGTATCCTAGAAGGCATTGACTGAAGTACAGTTAGTGCTTTCACCCAAATTAGAACTGCTACTGGGCCTTTCTATTCCCTTCCTCTCTTCCTATCCCCTTTTTCTTGTACTGTATACTGTATAATGTCTTTCAGATTGTACGCCTGAGAGCAGGGACTGTCTCACTTATGATATTTGAAGGTTGCTGTAGAAGCCTTTTCACAATTTATGAACCAAAAGAGAGAGGAAAAAGCCAAGAGTGAATTAACTTACTCTGTTTTACCAATATCTGAATGTCTTGCATAATTCTCAGATATAACTATTAAAACATGAATGTAGGAATTCACATAATCATTGAAACAATTTATTTAGAGCAAAGAATTTAAAATAAACTTTCAGGCCAGGCACATCAAAGAGTTTTAGTCTACTTCCAAATTCCCCATGAACACACTTAACTGTTTAAATGAACTAATAGTATGATTAAACATGTTATTTATATTTTCATTCTCTCTTCTTACAGAGATTTTAAAACTAAGTCAACCTTGATCTAAAAGGCAAAGTCAGGCTTGACTGTATTGACTGCATCCATGCATTTTTCTTGGCAGGGTTATAGAAGTGGCCAGCCATTGTCTTGTTTTTCAGGAGGGGTGAAAAAACATCTACCCTTAATGGGCACTCCTAAATAACTGGCCAGCAATTTAACAACCACTGAAGAGATGTTCAGATGAATACTTATAAAAGCTTGCTGAGTGTATAAAAATAGGTGGTGCTACTTTGATGCCTGCTGTGACACTTCACAACTATTTTTCTTAATTCTGTGGAGCACAAAGGGAGCTATTCTACTCATTCTACAGGGAAGCAAAATAACTATATCAGCTCCAGGGATGGTCGATATATATATATATATATATATTGCCTTGTCCCAGAAAGAAGTGTGGAAATTAAGGGGCTTTGGATCGATGGATCCAAAGTTTCATCCCATTATACCCCAACATCCTTTTTGAAATGCCCATTTTTATTATTACTGCCAATGGGCATTCTCATTGGGTAGGCATCTCAAGTGAGATCTTCTTTAGCAATCCTTCTTAACAGAATTCCTAGATGTATGTGTATAATATTATTTATATGTAGAACATCTAATGGGTGCTATCCCACCAACCACAGGGTTACATTCTAAAATGTGTTTAGGTAACAACCCTAGTTCAGCTTCAGAGACACTTAACTTATTCAAAGCAATCACTAACTCTTACAAGACAAAACCTTCCCACAGTTAACCTTTATAAATATTTGTTATTGATAAAGCAATCTAATAAGCAAATTTTAAATGGATTGAGTGGAATTGGAAATCTCTATTTTGTTTAAACAATGGGAAACTGTCTTAATGTTTGTATCAAACATTTAATAGAATTTAGATTACAGATTATTCAACAAAAAAGAATTTTGAACTGATTGGATCCCTTTGCCTTTGTATAGAAAAGGAATTAATGAATCAGCATGTTGTTGGAGATGCAATCAGAATCAGCTTTATTAAAGCATGTTTCTATGATCATTTCTGCTATATTCTGGGAAGAAGTCATTGCACATATTAATTTGACTTTGAGTCAGGGGTTAATAATTTCCACATTCTTCCATATTCTTTTGAACAATGTACCTGATGCATGGAAATTAATGGCTGGCAATGAAAATGAATTCTCCATGCCTTATTTATTGCTAAAAGACTTGTCCTTCAATATTGGCAAGATAAATTTTATGGCCCCAATTACTCAATGAATTAAAGACTGATGTTACCTGTAACTTATAAATAAGTTGCTTACAATGTAAATTATGTATGGACAATTATAATGCAATATGGCCATCCTCTATTGACACGTTTATGTAAAAACTTTATATAGGTATATGTATATGTATGTTGTTGTTTTCATTCTTTTTTTGAATTTCTTTTTCTGTTCTGTTTAATAAAATAAGACTTTTTTTAAAAAAAGGTAATAGTCCTAATTATTATTTTTAATCATGGAATCAGAACTCCCTGCTCCCATTAACAT